GTTTTAAATTCGAATTTGTTATTGCGTATTGGTTCGATTATAGAACGATTGTAAACGTTTCAGAAAATTGATCAAATTGAAAATAGTTCGTTTGATTTTCGGCAATTCTCTTCAGCGGTAGGTGTTATATAACAATTACTATGGTTATTGAAATATTGGATGTAAATGGGGTTTGCTTGCAAAACCTCCGCTGACGAAGTCGCGGGTAACAGCTAGTATATAATAAAATTTAATACGGGTAATAGGTTATATAAAATCCATACTTATGCATGAGCAATTATTAAATAACTAAATGTTTGTATGAAAACTTATTTTCTTATAAAATAAGCATTCATAAAATGATAGAAAAATACTAATATATTTAATAATTATTAATTTCTATATTGAAATATATATAATTTCAGTTGCTGAATCAAAATGAATGCAGTAGTAATCCTTGCAGAAATGGAGGAACGTGTGTAGATGCATACAATGGTTTCATTTGTCAATGTCCATCTGCTTGGGAGGTAATCATTTTATCGTTTTATTCTCTCAATTATGGAAACATTAATAAATTTAAATTTGAAAAACTTAGTAAAGTTTATATCGATTTTGTATGGTTTTTTTTTTGTTGTTTTCGAACGTTCGTTTTTTGACAATACTGTATTTTTAAAGTAAAGAAAACACGCAAACACGAGACGTCATAGAATGAAAAATTCTATGCTGTGCAGTTGACAAGTTGATAAATCTGACAAAACCTTTAAAATTTATTTTTCTATTTTTGAATCAAATAAAATATAGTGACAAACATTCATATTAATGCCCGAAAATTATTCTATAAATAAAATTTAATATACAGTAATACCCCGACTTATGTGAACCCGGAGTTACATAATTTTCAAATCTCGTCGATTCATCTTTTGTTTGAGTGCCACACAACCCTTGATTACTCACTCCCCCACACTATTGTTCAACTTACATGTTTGGATGTGTCGCGTGGAATCCACATATAGCTACAATTTATTTTGTGTTATTTATTTCTGTGTTTGTTATATCTACGGACACTCGAGAGACTCTACTATGTCATCCAAACGAAGTAGAACTAATTCTTCTGCATCAAACAAGAAAAGAAAAACTTTATCTTTGGAATGGAAAGTTAACATTGGGTATGTTCGTAAAGTCGAACGAGTTAAGCGAGAATGAAGTCATCGTTATTCCTATTTCGTTAAACTTTTCGAATGATTCATTACTAACGCGTTTAACTCGTTTGACTTTACGAACATACCCATTATTAAAGACTTCAATACAAAAATGAAAATTTGTGAATTGGCAAAGAAGTTTGATCTACCGGAATTGTTGGTCAGAACAATTATAAAAGGCAAAGAAAAGATTCTTGAAGCTGTGAAAAATGCTCAATCTTTTAAATTTAAGCATCATTCGTAAATGTCACAGTATTATCGCTGAGATGGAAACAATGTTAAAATTATGGCGTAATAATCAAGTAAATGTGAAAAATTGTAAAATAATATAGGCCTAATTTGTTATACATATGTTTATCTAAGATTTTATTAAACATTTTTTTCTAAATTATTATTTTCTTTAGTCTCCGGCCCGAATTAAAAATTATTTGTATGTATTTATATGTGAAATTATACCCCAACTTATGTGAATTCGACTTACACTGTTACCGCTCGGTCCCACCTATCGCGTAAGTTCGGAGTATTACTGTATTAAACTTTCAAATTAATTTGAAAAAGTCATTCTTAATTAAAAAAATGCAATTATGTTTTACTTTAATGTAATTAACAAAAATACATTTACATTCTCCAACAACAATTTTTACTGTTTATATTAAAGTCACAAAATATATTTTTATTACTTTACTTAATTCATGAAAACTTACCTTAACAAAATTTGCATTTATATAATCAGAACCAGGAATTCCTTCAATAACTGGTAAACGCACTCTTGTTTGATCATCTAAAAATCATAATTTAATAAAATTTCAGTTTATTGTTAATATCAATCTAATTCATGTAACTAAATAATTATTTTATTAAAGAAAATGCATTCATTTTCTTTAATAAAAATTCAATTTGAAAAAATTGAAGTTGTGTTGAAATATATATGAACATACATAAACTGATTTTCATTCTAATATTTTAAAAAGCATATAAACTAAACTTACAGGCTTNTGGTCCATGCCCTGCAGGTTAGTTTATTTTTTATTGCTTTCTTTATAGTTAGACATTCTATTTTTTTGTGATAATTATAAGTGGAACGGAATTATGAATTCATTTTCAATTTCATATAAAAGATTCTATTGTAATAAAATTCTGAAATAAAAATTCATATGCTATATTGTCATGTTAATTCGTAAAAGTCACAAGTTTTACAAAAGAAAGAGATTAAATAAAATGAAAACTTAATAAAAATTTATTTATTAAGATAAAATCGAAAAAGTTTATACATATTTAAGAATAAACTTTCTTTTATAAAGGTTATACTGGAAATGGAGAATATTGTACATATTCAGGAGTATGCAGGATGAATAATGGAGGATGTCATCCTCTTGCAACTTGTATTGAAAATACAGGTAAAAGAATTTTCATTTTTTAATAAGAACCTATATTTTTCAAGCAAGAAAATAGATTATTGATTTTCTTGAGTTAATAAGTATTTATAGTTCATTTCATTGACATTATTATTATACTGTATATTAGTATTTCTTAATGTTTCTTTCACTATTACTTTTATTGCAAAATAAGAGCATTTATTAACCTGTCAAATAATTTCAACACAGTGGAGCCTATGGGCAAAAAGGGCAATTGCCTGGGGCCTCTACCAACAGAGATTTAAACCAATCTCTGTATTCCACATACAGTATTCAATTTTCACTCAAAAGTTGCATGTACTGTATATATATCAAAAATAACATTCGTTTGTATAGAAATAATGTTTTTTAATGACACTTTTTTATTTGCACTACAAAAATGAAGAATACGTTTATAATTAAATACATATATGTTATTTATATATTAATTAAAAACGTGTTATCTTTTTTATAGCTATATCGCCATTATACAGAGAATGTCGTTGTCCAAGTGGTTTGACAGGAAGCGGAGTTGGACCAAATGGTTGCATAACTGCTACTGGTACAGCTTGTGAAGCTAATCCATGTTTACACGGAAGTTGTCAAGTAAACATTTAATTTAAAATTATTAATATATTTTTCTACCAGTTATTCTTTAAAAACGTTATATCTATAAATTTAACTCTTTTTTTCAGGTTAGCGGAAATAATTATATATGTATATGCTCTCCTGGCTATACAGTCTAGAAGAGGGGGATAAAGCCGTGGCCCATGAGCTTTAGGGGATCTATCAGAAAGAAAAACTTAAAAATTGTCGTTTTTCTGATTATTGTACTATTTCTATTGTAATTATATAATAGATATTGTACTATTTCTATTATATAATTAGTTTATTGTGTCATAAATTTAATTCAACATTTTTAGATGCGAATGCCCCGCAAATTGGCATGGAATTCATTGTTCAGAACAACACGATGACTGTAAAACTGCATCACACGAAGCACTTTGTGGGCATGGAACATGCATTGATTTAGATCGAGTATTTGCTGGACAAGTAAGTTATATATCATTTGAATATATTAAACATATCGTGTTGTAAGTTTTTAATATTCATTTGTTCAAGAGAACAATGCTTATTTGCTTTATTTTCTTTAATCATATTACCTATAGTTTTAAAAATTTTATATTTGATTACTAAATTTCAAATATTACAATGATTATACTACGACGATAATGAATAAAAATGAGAAATTATACTTTTAAATACCTTTCGCTCTTTGACCATTAATTAAGAGAACCATTTTTCCTTGTCCATGATGGATTCGTCAATGAAGGCAGAGTTTGATATTTTGATATGGATCTTTCATGAAAAATTCTTAAATGACAATTTACTAAATACCTTTCTAGCCCAAATATAAATGTTTATGCGATGAAGGTTGGAAAAGTGATGGAGTCAATCCAGCATGCAATACAGATATAGACGAATGCCACGAAAGTCATGTTTCGTGTTCAACAAATCCTCCAGTACAGTGTATTAACTCTCTAGGAAGCTTTCATTGTGGACCTTGCCCACCAGGTATTATTTTTTAAAAATATTTTATAATAATTATTCTTATCTTTTAGTCAAATTAAAAACAATTACATACTTCGAATTATAATTTAAATTAGTTAATTATATATTTAAATCATTGTGTAAGAATACAAGTGATACCACTCTTATTGTTTGACTGTTGAAAACATGTCAGGAATGTGGTCGTACTTCAGACATTCTCCATCAGGTGCCGGGTATCGAAAAGTCCATTTAGTATCGTTATTTATCACTTATTATCGCTTCGTTCGACAGTGTTTTTAAGAAATTCTTACAAAATCATGTCTCTTAAATGATGTGTGCATAATTGAAAAGGTAATTATTATCCAAAGAAACAAATAGTAAATGTATTTAAGGCACCAAAAGATTTGGAATTGTTTTAAAAATGGAAACGTGCGATACTGTGTGCAGATCGAGAACTAATGTAAATTTCACTAATTATATTGAAATGAACACAAATTAGAGTTCAATTAGCAATTGTTGCTAGTGGTAATCAATGGTAAAAATTGAACTATTACATCTCGTGGATACTCGAGTAAGCTCAATCACTTCGCTAACGTTCTTAATTAAATGGAGAGTGGTATCACCTATGTTCTTACACTATGATTTAAATTATAGTTTTATACAGGCTACCATATGATATACACTAATGCATGACAGAGTTACCAGATACTTTGGGATAAAATCCATAGCAAAATGAATTCTTCTCGAAAGATACCGGGACGTTTCAATTTCAGGACATGCAATACGTGTATTTTTACTCTGCCAGTGACAGAAATACATTTACAACACGAAAAAAAAATACTTTATTGTACGAACAGTTTTTAGAATAAATTCTTCCTGTCGTTAGCTGGCAGTCGGAAAAAATCCGGGAAAATCCCGGAAAACTGGGACATCTGGCAATACTATGATGTGGTAAAGATACTTTAGGAATTGATTAATATTCAACTCGTTTATGAATATTCTTAGTTGATTTTCATGTGATTAGATTAGTCCCATTTATTTCTTAATTCTCTATTCCATGTTGCTGATATTTCAGTTTGCTTTATTCTCTTATTGAAATAAAATGATTTACTCTTTGAAATAATTTAATTCGCGAACTATTAAATTCTGATCTCGATATTTGTTCAACTTTATCTTGCCTTTATTTAATGATCAGAATATTAAAAATGTTGCGGTCGAAGTTTTCATCTGTAAAACGTGAACATCGAACGTCTAGCGCCGCTTACAAGATAATGGCGCTCGACGTTCGACGTTCACGTTTTAAAGATGAAAACTTCGGCCCCAACCTTTCTATTATTCAGATATCTACACTTGTAGTTTATTTATCTATTTAGAGCGTTAATTATTTTACAAGTTTTATCATTATTAGAATGCCCTATCAAGACGAATAATTTTTTTTATTTAACTTGTTTTCTATCGTCTTCAAATTTTGCAACTTAAATTTCATTCACTTCTAAGATAAGTGACAATGTATTTTAATGATGTTTTAGGGGTAAATATCCAACGAATATAACTAAATTTAATCATAATGTGTGTGTATGTGTGAAGGTATTTAAAACAAAATTTCATAACAGATGACGCCACATACAATTTTATTTATTTTGCTTAATAATATAACAATTATGACATCACCATTCAGCTGTATCACATGGGCTTTGCCCAGTAAGGAGGAATTTATGAGTGCACTGTATATTTATTTGTTTTAATCAAATATTAACCTATATATTCATTAACCTATCATCAAATATATTATTATTATTATAGACTTATTTTTAATATACAGGATACTCAGGAAATGGATATTCCTGTACTGATATTAATGAGTGTCTA